CCAAACTCCCCAAAAAAACCCCAACTCCCCCCGAGAACTCCCCAAACCTCCTCAAAATCCCCAACTTCCCCCAAATCTCCAAACCTCCCCAAAGGGCCCCCAACCCCCCCCCAAATCTCCCTAAAACCCCACTCCTCCATCCCCAAACTTCCCTAAGTCCCCCCAGACAGCCCCAACCTCCACAGGGTCCCTGTCCCAGTTTTTGGGTGCTCACAGTGACGGCGGCGTGCCCCAGCTGTGCCCAGCCGTACAGGTCCAGCAGCCGGTGGATGCTGCCCACCTTACAGCGCATCAGCCGCTCGCCCTTGGCCAGCGCCGGCCCCTCCGTCCCGTGCAGGTCGTTAATGGGGGTGACCGACGCCAGCCCTGGCGATTGGGGACCCCCCTGTCAGCAGTGGGGCCCCCCCAAGCCGCAGGGGGGTTCACCAGGGACGGGAGAGAGTTGTGGGGATGGGTTTGGTGCCCCCCCCCCCATGGTTTGTTGGCCCTCAAGGTTTGGTGACCCCAAAGGTTTTAGATGTTCCCAAGGTTTGTCTGGTGGTCCTCAAGGTTTTGGGGGTCCCCAAGGCCTCAAAGGTTTGGTCGGCCCCAGGGTTTGGTGGCCCCCAAAGATTTGGTGTTCCTCTAAGTGCTGTGGAGTTCCCAAGGGTTTGGTGGCCCCCCCCAGGGTCCCAAAAGTCTTAAAGGTTTGATGACTCAAAAAGTTTTGGGGGTCCCCAAGTTTTACAGGCCCCAAAGGTCTTAAAGGTTTGATGACCCCAAAGGTTTTTGGGGATCCCACAGGTCCCAAAGGTTTGGTGACCCTAAAGGTGTGGCCCCAAAGATTTTGGGGCCCCTCAAAGGTTTGGTGTCTCCCGAGGTTTTGGGGGCTTTCCCACCCACGCCCCTCCCCATTAAACCCCCCGTGAGTGCCCCCAAACCCCGGCGTGCCCTGCATACCCATCGGGGAGGTGGGCAGGGCGGCGGGGGACGTGGTGGCCATGAAATCAGCGATCTGCCGCAGCGCCCACACGTGCGACGAGTTGTTCCCCTTCTTCATCTGCTCCTGGATCAGGCTCTCCAGCTCCTCCCGGAAGGACTGCGGCACCCGGGGGACATGGTGACATGTTGAGGGGACCATTGGGGACACCCGGGGGATGGGGGAGGGCAGCATTACTGTCTTGGTGGAAGTGGCACAGCCAGCTTGGTGTTAGGAACCCCAGTGGCTTGGTGGCACCGTGATGGGTGGCACCAGCAGCTCGGTGGCACAGCGATGGTGGCATCACCACCTTGATGTCAGTGTCACCACTGGCTTGGTGGCACAGTGGCAGAGGGGGCACTGGCAGCTCAGTGACAGCAGCACAGGAGCAGCGACATTGACAGGTGGGGACATGCACCGAGCCAACACTTGGTGGCATCGCGGTGGCACCGATTGGCTTGGGGACAGGAGGGACGCGGTGGGGAAAGGAAGGATGGGGTTGGGGGCAAGAGGGCTGGACTTGGGGACAGGAAGGCTGGGACAAGAGGGAAAGGGGTTGGGGACAGAAGGGGTGGGGTGGGGGATGCGGAGGAAGGGGTTGGGGACACGAAAGACAGGGTTTGGGGACAGGCGGGACGGGATGGGGGGCAGGAGGGACGGGGTTGGGGATAAGAGAGGGGGTTTGGGGACAGAAGGGACAGGGTGGGGACAGGGGCTCACCGGGCTCTGGAGGATCATGGTCACCCTCTTCTTCTGCTCCATGAGGTTGAAGTCCTGGCGCAGGTCGCCCCCCCCGCCCCGCGCCCGCAGGAACTCGGCGTCGTCCTGGGGGGCGCAGCGGGGCCCGGGGGCGGGGGGCTCGGGCAGGGGCTCGGGGCTGGCGGCCGTGCTCATCCTGCGGGACACGCGGCCCGGCGCGGGGCGTCACTCCCGGCACGCGCACCATCCCAAAATGCAGATTGGGAAGAGGCCACCCAAAAATACCCCACAGCTGCACCCCGCAGATAAGGCCCGCGCGGCCCCGCCCTGCCCCGGGGGGGTGACGAGTTGGGCAGGTTGGGGACACCCGGGCCGGGGGGGATCCCCTGCTGCCTGCACTGCCCAACCTCAGTGTTAACACCCCCTGAGGCAGCGACGGCTGAGAACGGGCACAGCTCAGCGCAGCAGTGGCTGAGAACGGGCAGCTCAGCGGATGTGCACTAATGGACATGGTGGCTGAGAACGGGCACAACTCGGTGCACGGATGGGAGCTGAGAACGGGTGCGGCTCAATACACGGACCGGCAGCTGAGAATGGGAACAGCTCAGTGCACTGGTGCGAACTGGGAATGGGAGCAGCCACCAAGAACGGGCACAGATGGGGGCACTGTGGGCACAGTGGCTGAGAATGAACACAACTCAGTGCACCGATGGGAGCTGAGAACAGCCAGCTCAGTGCATCGATGGGAGGAGCAGCAGTTGAGAACGGGCAGCCTGGCACACTGATGGGAGCAGTGGCTGAGAACTGGCACAACTCAGTGCACTCACTGATGGGCATGGTGGCAGGATGTGGGTGGCAGCCAGGAACGGACCCAGCTCTGCACACCAATGGGAGCAGCAGCTGAGAACGGGCCAAACTCAACGCACCGATGTGGGTGGTGGCCGAGAACGAGCACAGCTCGCTGCAGCAGTGGGGCAGGGGCTGAGAACGGGGACCACTCGTGCATCAGTGGGAGCAGCTGCTGAGAAGGGGCAGCTCAGTACACCCACGGGAACAGGGGCTGAGAACAGGGGCAGTTCAGCACACCCACGGGAGCTGAGCACCGACAGCTCAGTGCACCGATGGGCGCTGAGAACGGGCACAGCTCAATGCACTGAGGGGCGCCGAGAACAGCTACACCTCAGCACACCCACGGGCGCACCCCCGTGACCCCCACCCCGAATTGGGGTCACCCAGCACCGCGGGGTTGATGCTGCAGTGCCACCGCATGTGTCAGGGTTCAACCAACACGCCCCATCCCCGCCCTGGGGACCCCCAAAACCCCGGTACTGACCCCCCCACCCCCAAGGGCATCGTCACTGAAGTGCTTTGGGGGTGCTGCTGCCCAGGCTCCCCCAAAGCACAGGGCGGGGCTGCCCCCCCAAACCGCGGAGGGTGACCCCCAAGCCCCTCCCATCACGAGGTGCAGAAGTAGAGCCCCCCCCGAAATCAGAGCCCCCCAAATTTCAGTGCTGGGTGCACACCTGGCTCAGTGGGGAGACCTTGCCTGGCGTAAAATCCGAGGGGGGGTCCCGGTGCCCCCCAGGCCGCAGGGCCTGAGCACTCCCAGGGGGCAGAGGGGGCTCTAAGGGCCCCTCCTCAACCTCGGGGGGGCTGTGGGTGGGGTAGGACCCCCTAAAGCTGCCCCCTCCCAGCATCCTCCCCCACGCCGCCTCCGCCCTCGCCGCGCCCAGCGCCGCTGCGGCAGCCGCAGGGCGGGGGGGGAGAGGGAAAACCGGGATGGATCTGGGGGGGCTGCAGCATCGCCCCCCTTCACCCTCCCGGGGGGTGGGGATGCGGTGGGGGGAGGGGTGGGGTCGGGTACCACCGAGGGATGAAGGCCTAGGAAAGGGGGAGAGGGGAGGGATGCAGCCCCCCCACACCTGCATGCAGCCAGATGGGGAGGGGGGTGGAAAAGGGGGGGGTCA